ACATTTAACAAAAAAATACAGTGAACACAGTATATCCTTATAAACGAGAAGGAATCCTTTCAAATTCTACCTAATTTTGCCAATTTTTTTGTTCAGAAGCTTGTCATAATTTTCCACTTATATGGGCTAATGTGACAAACTGACGTCTGCACACCTGAAAAACTATTCATCAAAGTTTATAAAACGTGGACAATTTGGGTCAGTTGAAAAGGACATTTTCTGAATTACTATCATAAACAATAAACACTCCCCCAGTGGGGGGATTTTTATACCACACGACAACCACTACTGTTTTCTAACAGAAACTGATGAGTCATACGTGGGAAATTTTGTGCTTTTTAAGTTGTATTTTTTGTTATTCATAATGAGGTTGACTTCCCAGATAATACAATGTTCTTTCCCCCAATTAGCATAAAATCAGAACCGAAAATAAAAAGTGAAAATCTTTTCCCAGCTTCGCCAAATCTGGCGCAACAGCGCCCTCTGGTGAAATAAATGCAGAATGGTGACTTTATTTGACCTACAAATGGTCTGTCGCCTTTTAGAGGGCACAAACTCGGGAAGTAGTTTTCAAGATGACCCTGAATATTTTTGAGCGATTCTCCGCCGTTTATAATCGATGTGTTATAAACGAGTGATTCTGTAAAGATCTGCACTGACGTGGCTTCTCTAATCAGAGTGGAAAGCTTCAGCCACATGGGGAAATCATCACAGCTCACAATTTTTTTGGCATTAGGTAACTGATATTTTGAAATGACTCTGTTCCTTTTCATCACAAATGTGTGCTTCATTTACAAACCAGTGTGTAGGAGGAAGTCTTTTTTTTTGGCAAACAATGGAGAATAACCTGTAATTTCAGAGTAGCTCAGGTGTTCCCCTTTTAACTTATTTCCTCGAGAGATTAAATGTTTATGTGATAATTTTCTGATAAATAGTTACTTTTTGACTCAATGATAATACTTTTGTTTAATCAAAATTAAAAAGCTCAGATTTTGTAACTGAAAAAGCATAATGATTAGCTTATAATCAACAAAAATCCCCTAAGTAATCTGATCTTTATTGGCAGATTTCAAGAGTATAGCACATTGTGTTAATCCAATAAGCTCCAATAGGGAAAAAATGTTGAAAGGCTTTTCTTTAAACCAAGTAGAGTTTAGGGAAAGAGCCAATTTATATGCATAGCACACACTGCTGCTTGGATACACCCCCTTTTTAACCCTCCTACTCTTCCAGCGTCCTCACTTTCTGAGATGTCAAATAAAAACCAAATGCAGTCCAACTCACTATCAAACACTAGATGCTTGCTTGCAAAGTAGGTGCATGTAAAGACAGACTTCTCTGCTTGTCTTTGCCAAAGCTTGAAGAAATGTGAGAGGTAGTCTCTGAGTAGCTGTGGGAGTGCGAGATGAACCCTGGGGGCCCCTTGCAGCAAAAAATTCAGGAATGTATCTCAGTCTGAAAAGAAAAAAAACTTCTGTGCAAACGCATGATTTATTACTGTAACAAAAGGTTGCACAGCTGTGGAGGAACAGTGATGTGATGTGCAGAAATTTAGGTAAACTATCTTTGATTTGCCAAATTGCAAAAAAAGAAAATGTATTTAATCAATTAGAACTTAATGTATTAGTGGGGATCTATAAAATGCTGCTTTATTTGGCAATTAGTTTCTGCATATTTGGTCCGTATGTCAAATTTATAAATTTAAAGCTAAAAAATCATACAGTCACAAAGCACAAAAAGAAATACAGTTCATTCAACAAAAGTTCCAAATTACATGTTGACCAGGCCATGTTTTGAATAACCTGTACATGAGGAAATAATTAGTTATCCTGCCTAGTAAACATATACCAAAGTTTTAAATGCATCTTTCATGAAAGGAAAACAAACAAGTACTAGATTTTACCCACAATCAAACCCCAAGAAAGATTTAAATGTTAACCCAAAAATTATGACAACTGGTAAGGTTTAGAAGAGATTTATATCTGACTGTCATCATAGTACAAATGATAGGAAATGTTAAAAAAGACCCATTGAAGTTAGCTAATAAAAATGTTGGCAAAATTCTTATGGACCGATGATTGAGCCATGTGGAACTCCACAACTTATAGTTTTGCCCTAACATACCGTTATGTCAAATGGGTTGGAGGAAATCCAGTCTAATATTCCTTATAGGAGAATAAACACAAATGTGAAACAGGTTTTATATTCAAATTAAAATATTACACCAAGGTTGCAAATTCTGGATTTGGTTGTTGAGCAAGTTGGAAGCGAAAGACTATTTTATTTCAATTTGAGTGCAGAGAACACTAATAGTCTTTGTGTTAACATTTATGACAAGTCCATTTTTACAACATAGATGTGGCAAAAAAAAAAAAAAAGTTATAAATAGACTAAGTAAAATAAAAAATTTGGAAAGTGAATGCTACTGGACCGAGGGCATATCCTGCTGTGGGTTAGAGGAACGGTGTTTCCCCCTAATTATATTATTCAATCAGATGAGCAGGAAGACAATCAGTCTAATGTGGAGCTAAAAATATCAATTTAAGCTTTTAAATTTGAAATGTTAAACTGAAAGTACCTTTTAGTTTCTTCAGGACTTGAATACATTTCGTTTAATGTTCTTTACTTCTATGAGTGTTATGGGGTTTCCATCATTCATAATCACTTCCTGTTTCTGCTTGCCTTTGTTTGGGAAACCTTGACTTGGCTGAGTGCCAATACAAAGAAACAGAGCAAAGATCTCCCACAGTATAAAGTCATAATGTCCTGGATTTTACTTTCCTGAATACCATAAAAACAAATTTTCTTTTTCTTTTTTTAGATCTGATTGTGTAGCGTTCAATTCAGCTACACAATTAGGTTATATTTTAGCTGTTTACTAACTGTTTTCTATTCATTGTGTGGTTTTCTTTTCATGTTCTTTTACAACACAGGGCTTCCAGGGTGGACTCAATCTACTCAGTCTTGTTTAACTGCTTCATTTTCTTCTTTCTTTATTTATGTGCTTCTTCCTTCCTCAGTTTGCGTCAAGTCTGTACTTGGGAGTAAGAATCTGGGCATACTGAGCATTCCTAAGAGGGCCTGAGTCAAACTACTCTGACAGGCGGAAGAAAAGTCTCTCAGACAGCGCCAGATGAAGTTAACACTAAAATCCCTTGCATCACTGGTGTGTACATCAACACTACCTCTTAGGATACAATGCCCTGAAGGTTAAAATTTGCACATTTTGTCATTTCACCACATATAACCACAAATTTTAATTTCAATGGTGGAGACGTTTACAGAAGGATCGGGTTATGAAACGACATTTCAAGTGTTACATTCTTCAACAAGATGGTCAATCCGTCATGTTACAATGGAATCCAACATACAGCGAGAGCTATGACCAGGTCCAAACCAAAATGAGAATAAATGGCAAGGCTGGAAGCATTATGTTATCCTTTATCTTCACAAAAATAAGCATGGTCAGTATTGCCAGTGATGACTAGAGAATTGGGTTTTTAGGAAATAAAACAAAATACTTCAGACCCCACACATCCTGGACCTAAATTATTCAGACTTTTACCACTGAGTTGATGGTATTTGAAAAAAAAAATGAAAAAAAAAGAGCCATCATGGAGGCAGTTTCTACTCCTTAATGCACACTTAAATCAATATTACGTTCGTTTGCACTAATTTAACCTTGACTTTTTTTTAAATTAAGCTGTATATTTACATATCTTCTTCAAACAAATTATTTTAATTGACCACTAAATTTATATATGTATCTCTATTGAGAGCAAATTAACCAAAATCAAATTCCTTGATCAATAAGTCTGATTCTGATATAAGTTTTTATCACAATAGTAGATCCGTAAGCTTTCATGAGTTTGCATGAGTTTGAGACCACAATATGAATTTAAAACTTTTTAAGAACGATTGTTCAACTTTCAACGCCAAAAAGAGAGATTGGCATAACTTGCGTCAGTTCTGAAGCAAAATCTTCCACCTCTGTCATAATATTCAAATGTAAAACAAAACAAAAGTCTTCCGACGCTTTTTATAAGTGACCCCAAAGGTTCATCGTGGGGAAACGCCCGTAAAAAAGAACCGAAGTACTTATATGACATCACTTTGCCTGACTCACAGCTGGGATGGTCACCTCACCAAGTGCCAACTTGCCATGAAAACACACCCGAGCGGTCAGAGATCCGCATGAAACTGGCGTCCATGTTGGCTCAATGGGGGGTTTTTACACTGGGAGGCAAAGGGACTTCTGCGCCGTAATGTCAGGGTGATTCACGCAGTAACATTTGGCCTATCGGTCACGCTAAAGCACGCTCCTTGACTGGTTGAGCTTTACAGTTTCAACCAATCACAGTAAGCTATACCACCAAGTGGCAGATTCAGTAACCAATCAAAAGCTTATGTTTTGACAGAAGGTTGGGAGAAGGCGTGTCCATTGGTCCAGGGAGTCGCCGCTGTGGCTCCTATTCGAAGGCGACGGCGGTCGTCTGTATTTCTGCTCTAATCTCATCTGAAAAGCTAAATTACACCTAGCAGACAGTGAATTTAATTTACTTTCATGTTTGGTTTATTCCCAGTTCTTCTCAGTCGAGCTCTCGGCGGGGCTCTGGAATGACGACGTGTGCGGAGAATTTGAATTAGCTCGCAGTTAGTTTGAAGAAAGAGTGAGTTGGGGCAGAGACGTAGAGAGAAGCCATTTTGTCCCGACTGTGTGGGAGAAAAGAGAGTGGAAAAGAGGAATCACACGGGAGGAGATACCATTTTTTTTTTTTGCTTTTTGTTCTCATGTTGTAAGAGAAGAAACAGTTCGGGATATATCAACTTCTTGGACACGTATTTGGGTTCTTTATTTGGGTGATATTTTAGCCTACTACTAGCTCGCCAAAGCTAATCAACAAATCCCAGATTGTTAACTGTTAACAGCCAGGAGGGCTGGAGCGGGTTGGTCAAGTTGGCCACGGAGCTGGAATTAGACTTCACGTAGCCGTGCTAGTTTGTCCTTTGTTTCTGTTTGTATCTGGGTGAACACATAATTATTTTTCAATGGCGAAAAAGACGTACGACTTGCTGTTCAAGCTGCTGCTGATCGGCGACTCGGGTGTGGGGAAGACCTGCGTGCTGTTCCGCTTCTCTGACGACGCCTTCAACACAACCTTCATCTCTACCATAGGTAAGAACTCCAGATGACACACACACAACTGGGCTTGTAGTTGGAGGTGTTGCTGATAGTTTTCGACCTCTGTCGGAGGTTTTTGACTGCTGGGAAAGTCATCTGACCCCCACCATGCAGCTGGAAATGGTAGGCAGGACATATTTGGTTAGCTGCTTTGCTAGCATGCATCGTTTCTCCAGGCCTCGGATTGTTCTTTAAAAAACCTATGGGATGATCCATAACCCCTGTTTTTGTTGCTTCTTATTTAAGTGAATAAAACATTGTGATAGTTTACGTTCACACCGGCTCTAAGTGTTAGTTAATGTAGAGGTATTTTTTGTCATGTCAGTGGCTAACAACGACGTGTTGGTAGCACTGCAGGGCGGCCATACTGTGACTAACTCTGAAAACTATTCCTCAAACCAAATGACAAGCATTAGCTTCTCCAATACAGCCAGATAATAAATATTCTTTCTTTGCTTTTACAAATTAGACAGTATCTTTTGCAGATGTATGTAAATTTGTTTATAAAAGCCACCACTGTCAATGCCACAGAATAAAAGCTCATTACAAGCAACACTCAAAAGAATTATATATCCAATTGAAAGGACATTACAATAAAATTATACAATGCTAAGATAATGTCTGTAGTTTTTAAACAAACAGCTGCAGCAGTTTTTGTTGTTAATTTACATAACAACCTGTTATTCATCACAAAAATTAGCATTATTCCTAATAGGTTTAATAGGTATTAGCATAAAATTGTTTACAAATGCATCAAATAAATTAGAAAGTGGGTCAACCACATTTATTACCATCATTTGTTGCGCTTTTGAGATGTATGCAGATTTTGTCAGAATTAGAAAAGCTGACGAAAAGAGGACTGATTCGATCAAGTCGTTTTGTTAAATAGCATGAAAACATAAACTATTTGGGTTATTAAAAAATTGTACCTCTATTCTGACAAATAAAAACCTTGTTTTATAGGACTACACATTTTTGTTATGTTGCTAACAGGAAGTAAAGAAATAAATTGAATTCTAGGTGTGTTTTTTGACAGGGATTCTAGCAATCTAGACTCATAATAGAAAGTAATCTGTTTTAATTATATTGTGAAACCTGCAGCGCAATAACTAGTAATGCTCCCGTTACAAATCAAAAAAGATGCTTTCAAAAAAGGGATAAGCAATGTCAAGGTAAAATTATCAAAATATAATGCAATACAACATAGTTTAGAGCGTTTTTAGCAGTAATAATAAAAGTGGTATAAATCTATCATTACATACAGTTTAAGGTTTTGCAAATCTGCCACTAAAACCTTCATAATCTTTATGTTCAGTCATATTTTGTATCGGTATTAATGCAAACCAATGTTTTTAAACTGTAAAGTTTTTATACTTAAAGTTATAGCTGTCTATACCTTTAAAGTTCTTGCCATGGAGTAATGCAGCACTTCCCTGCCCCACCTGTTGCTGAACACTTTTGGGAAAGTAGTTCAAAATGTTTTGGGGGTTTACAAATATATATTAGATTTTCTTGTTACTTTTACAGTTGATTTAAGGCTTAATAAAGTATCCTTTTCATAATAACAATAGGTGAAATAATAATTGCCCATCCAAAATTGAAAAGTATAAATTAAAGTAGCATTATTGACACACTGTAGCCTATTTTTGGTAGCAAAATAGATTCCTCTCACCCAATTGTAATTGAGGATGTTGAAATAATTTTTCGTTGTTGTAAGAGTAGAAAATAAAACTTCCAAAAGTGGGAGCAGAAGTAGGAAATGTTCACATTATGATCATTGTTTCATTGTATATCACTAATAATTAAAAACAGTCCAAATTGTTGTTGTTTTTGTTTATAACCTAAAAGCAATATTTATTTCTACTGCTACTAAAATGTTATAACGTTATGATTATTGTAGCTATAGTATTGTAACTGTAATGTATTTTTTTAGTCTTTTGCTCTCTATAGATTAACACAAACATAATTATCTGATAGTAGCTGGTTAATTACTTGGGCTAATTATTAATGTATCCATCCTGCAGTCTGTGTTTGACGTTAATGTGTTTTGTAGCTTGGCATCTTTATTTTTTTAAACTTCATAGAGTGATAGAGTTGCTCTTTTAGTTTCCATGACTTAAATTATTTCAGAACAGCCAAATTTTCTCTGCTGTAAAGAAACATACAGCTGCACTCTGCCTGCATTCTGTAATTATTACATGTTAAGTTAGATAGAAATGTGCATTTTTATTGTCAATAAATACTGTACCTAATACAAAAAAAACTAAGGAGTTTAAACTTTGCATGGTATTTGTTTGTTTTGCTAAAAACTAAATCAGTTTAGTATTACTGGCACACAGATCCACATTTGTTTTGTAAAATATTGCCAATAGGTGACATTGATTTTGGTTTGCAGCCATAGCTGAATAATTAAAACCAGAATATACCACTGGAGACTTTGTTGGGGGGATAAAGGAAACAAGTCAGTTTTGTTAAAATATTTTGGCTACAGACGAGGTGACGTTAACCATAAACAGGTTCTCTGGCTTTAAGGACTTTGTAGCTGTTGCCACAACATGACACAAGATGACTTAATGACTCAATCATTGAAATAAGGTCAACAAAACTCTGTATAACAATTGCAGAATTACATCTGATTGTTGTCTTAAGGATAAACAAACAAACCTGTTGGGTGTATTTAAGCAATTTATGTAGCATTACAAGTTAAAACAGCTTTTTGCAACTGAAAAGCAAAGAAGCTTTGAATTGTGAGTGTATGAATGCCTTAGATCCTCCAGTGGGAGTCATAAACGATCCTCCAAGGTGGCATCATCAGCCTCTTTCCTCTACCTTACTTTACACTTGCATCTAAAATCGCACTTGCATGAGTTAAGTGTCAAAGTATGTCAAATCCCGGCGCAGCCAAAGCGAGGCCTCCATTTACTCTTATTGCTTAAGACCCGCGCTGAGTAGTAATGAAACATTAGAGTGCTCTGACATTATTGTCCCTGATCCTTTGGACTCGGCTTTCGTTTCGACATTTCTTTTTAATAACTTATGTCTTGTTAAGTTATCCTGAGTATAAGCAGCTGTTTCCAGCGGCGTCCAAGTTGGATTAATTTGTCGTAGTTGAGACATGAACTGCTTTGCTGCTGCAGAGCTTGCCAATACATGAAGACTTCTGCCTTTCAGTCTGCACCTTTGCTTCGACTTGTACTACACTGCAAAAACAGAAACTCTTACCAAGTATTTTTGGTCTAGTTTTTAGTTCAAATATCTTGGTACAATTAAAGTAAGACAAAAGTAATTTGCCAGTAACTTTTCATTCTGCATCTTTGCTACGATTTGCAATACACTGCAAAAACACAAACTCTTACTAAGTATTTTTGGTCTAGTTAAGGAATTATCTTTGTAACTTGTAACTTTTTACAAGATATATGAGCTTGTTTCAAGTCAACAATTCCTTAACATTGATAAAAAGGTTCTAGTTCCACAAGCAGATTATTTTTCTTATAACAAGACATCTTTTCAAAGTTATAAGTGAAACCTGACAGTGAAACTAGAACTTTTTCATCAGTATTAAGGATATTTTGACTCCTATATCAGGGTTTCCCTCAGTGTATTATAAGCCTGGCCGGACACCAGGCTTTACTTTTGGGCCCCCACCAGGCTAAGCATTGCTTATTTTTTTGAGTCTTTATACAATGTTTGCATTTTTAAAGGCTTTTAGTTGTTATTCAGGTAATAATATTCCAATCTTTCAATAACACTTAATTATCAAATGATATTTTCAAATTTCCTGTCAACTTTAAACATTTTTAACTCAAACACACAACGGCCCAACCACCGGCCTTAGCAAGTTTTCAGGGGGAAACCTTGTATATCTAGCTGAAAGTTACTAGAAACAAAAATACTTGGTAGGATTGTGTTTTTAAGTGCTCTTTTAAGATTACTTAAAAAGAGCAGAGTAAAACCAATCCTTTAAGATCTTTGTTGTAGTTCTTAAATACAGTCGACCAGCAGGCTTTTCAGTGAGAGGAAAAAAGAACAAGAGTGACCTTTGGCCCTGGCCTGCTGATCTTGGCAGCGGCAGCAGCGTTTTCTGTTTTCATTTATAGAAATGTGGAACTGAATTCAACAGCCTAAAGTCAGCAGAACAGGTTTTAGTTGTCATTGTTTTTTATATATATATATATATATTTTTGTCTTGTTTGTTTTTTAAAGTCGATTGTTTGGTGAAACTCGTTGATGTCTTAGTTGTGAAAGTAGCAGAGCTTAGATGGAGATCTCACCTGAAACCTGTTTGACATAAATAAACTGGAAGCAATGGCACGGCCCATTTTCTCATAACCGCACCGTTCAGGTGTTAAACTAGAAACGCACAGGTCGTAATAAATGTTGTCTCTGTATAACCAGCAATAAACTCAGTTATAACCACTGCTAAACTTTCAAAGTTATTACCAATCAGTGCAAAGGGGAAAACTTTATTGTGTTTTTTATGAGTCCCTCTGGCACGTTCAGCTGCGTTTGGGGGGAAAAGTTTAGGTACTTACCGAAGGTAAATTGATTAGTAATTCACATTTTATGACTTGGATACACTTACACACTCTGCTATAACCACTGGCTCTTAAATAGTGTAAAATATTGCAGTGTTTTTTTTGTGTAAAATTATGTTTCATGTCATTTTTCCTGTGCAATCTGAAAGGCTGCTCGAGTTTTTTCTGCATTTCAGCCCTGATGGTTGTAACATGAAAATTGGTATTTAGCAGAAACTGCTCCCACATGGTGCTGATTTCAGTTTAGGAAACTTGTATTTTTATCTTTGTTCCACCTTTAATTTACATTTGTAAAGTTGCCAGCAATCATTGGAATCAGTCGAAATATTATATGCCGTTTTTTTGTTTTTTGTTTTTTTTTAGTGTTGCTGCCTGGGAAATAATTGCAATTTGAAATGTGTTCCCAAGTGATTCCTTAAGTTATTTTTTAACTTGCTATTTCACTTATTACTTTTATATCTACTGTTCGATCATAAAAAAATCATCCAAAATAAAATATTAAAGTTGGACAATCAAACACATACCATTCTCTTGAAATACTTGCAAAATAAAATATAAACAATAACAGCATGGAAACCAAATTCTATAAATAAGTGTATTTTTTGTGAGCTTGGAATTGGGGCTGAAACGATTAATTGTGATTAATCAATTACTGAAATCAACTAATTTAGTAATCGACTAATCATTAACTGATGTATATAGACTCAAAACAGGAAATTTGCTGAAAGAACAACATATTCAGAATACTAACAAAGCCAAAAATATATCTACAATTAGCATTTTAGATAAAATAAAAAAAACATTTAGTAAATGTTTGTTTTATCTTTACCTTGTTTAAATTCTGTGGAAAAAATATAAGCAGAAAGGACCAAGTTTTTCACATTTTGATTTCAGATTTTTTTTTTTTTTTACTGCACATGCCTCTGTTACTACAAATCATTAAAGAAATTCCTGGCAATAAAATGTTTATTTTAATATAAATTTTATTGCATTTTAGGCAATAAAATTATTAATTGCCTAAATAAACATGCATTAGGTAATAAATCTTTATATAATAATAAATAAATATTTATTTATAAGTAAATAAAGATTTTATTACCTCAAATACATTTAGTTAATAAATAATTTATTTAGTAATAAATGTTTATTTATACACGTATAGTATATTATATATCTGATGCCACCTAATAAAATGCAACAATTTATTGGATTTTAGGCAATAAAATGCATTTCTTAATTAAAATAGGAATTGAATTGCTTATTTGCATATTTTATGTATTTTAATATTACATAGAATATTCACAGAATGTGCCTTTTTTAAAAATCTAATTAATCGTTAAACAATCGATTAATCAATCACTAAAATAATCATTAGTTGCCGCTTCACTTGATAAAAATGGACTCTATTAAGATTTGTGGTGAAGTTTCTCCTTTGACTGTATTAACCATGACTACATATGTTTATGACTCCAGATTGTTGTTGTTTTGATTTAAAATTATTCCAAACGCTGTACTGAGCGTAGCTGTATGGAAATCATCTTCCTACCCCTAAATGCAAACTTTGAAAACTGTGTAAAGAGCAGAACTGAAAACCTGGAAGAGGAATGTCGTCTTCCTCCGGCCCAGGTCTCATACCTTTTCAGAGACAGCTGCTTCTCAAAATACCCGGCTGGGAAACCCCCTCTGTCATTATCCAGGCTGCTTTTCTTCAGGATGACCTGGCTCTTGCTTAATATCTTTCTGATGATCTGTCATTTAAAAAATGCTTCCTGGGGGGTTTTATTTCCACAGCAACTGGAAAGTGTCTTGTATTTATGTTTGGAAAGAATTGATCCTCTTTCAGCTTAGATTGTCATTGAAGTCCTATTTTAGGGAAGTATGTCCATTTTCCAGTGAATATCTTTTTTACCCAACTTCCCAATGCTGAGGCCAGTGTTTAAAAATAATGGACTGTTATCAATAAAACTGTCCCTTTTTCTCTATACATCATCCCGGATTATATTATTTATGCGTCTTTTGAAGCAACTAAAACTTTCTTTCCCACTGCTTCTCCCCCAAGGGTGTCCATAATATCTGGTGAGTCACATTTTGGCAGGCAGTTCCTTCGTTATTCTGTGACTCCACCCCTCCTAAAACGCAGCTGTTTCTTCAACGTTTTGACCAGGAAAACGTCCTGACTGAAGCAGAACTGACCAAAAACGAGGTTCACAAGAAGGAATGAATCACAGGGCTTAGACTAGATCTTCAACCAACTCATGAAAACTTTTCTAACTAGTGTTAATGGTGGTTTATTTCATTTTGGTGCTGTACTTTTTCATACTTTTTAAAATTAAATCACTTGACTTTACAATATTTGACCTAAATGTCTTATGAAAATAACCATTGAATGTCACAGTTCTTCCCAAAGTAGCTGCCATAAATTAATTTGTATTATATTCTATCAGAACACCTCAAAACAAAAACACTTATGTTATTAAACAAAAAAAAAGTTTAGTTTAAACTCCTTCCAGAGGGAAGAAAAAGATTTCTATAATGTGAAATATTGTTTGAAATCTACAAAATCATTATCTTTTGATTTTTGTTTTGTTTTGCATGTTTATTTTAACTAACAGTGCTAAAAATAATAAATATGCCAGGGTGGAGATGTATGTATTTAGTAGGACTGAAACGATTAATCGTATCAATCATGGGTGGACCCAATTTATTTTTTTGGTTTTTACCTCGATTTCAGCCTGAGCTTTTCAGGTTAAAGGAACAAACATAACTCTTCAGAATCAAAACGCGTTCTTTCTTTTTCCGCTCATCTTCTTAATCTCTTTTTTTGGCTTTCATCTGACTCGTCTGTTTTTGTGTAATTGCCACAAAACTACACAAACTTCCATCTACCAATTACTTGAGTAATCAATTAATCTGTCAATTATTCTGACGATTAATTGGATAAAAATGTCACATTCTACATATTTTTCATTTAACCACTCAAGCCTTTTTCATACATTAGAAATGCATTGAACGATGCAAATATACAAATAATTTAGTTCCATATTAAATAAGAAAATAAGAATTCCTTTAGTAAGCCTGAACAGGGTGATTATAAAATTATAAAATGCGTTCAAATGCAAAATTTATAGATATTTTATACAGTTTTGGCTTAATTACAGCTCTAAATGTTTTTTCCCCACCAAATAGCTTTTATATTTTTTTTGTCTGTATATTCCAGTTGACGATTAATCGATTTCAACCAATTAATCACAATGAATTTGATTAATCGATTTCAACCCTACTTCAGTTAATCGATTTTCTTTGTGTTGTCACTCAGATAAACTCGCAAAACTATGTAAAATGCATCCGACACGTCTGTTTTTCTTTACAGGAATAGACTTCAAGATTAAAACTGTTGAATTACAAGGAAAGAAGATCAAACTACAGATTTGGTAAGTCCTTTTTTAAGCTTTTATTTGTAGACTGCCAACTTTTTTATTATTTGTGTGGCTGCTTCAGTTTCCCACTTGTATCATAGTACAACATCTGTTTGACAAAACTCCCTCAAGCCTGGAAGAATGCAAGAACAGGAAATGGTCACCAGGACATTTGCTGCATCATTGTTGGTCCACTACAGATAATTTCCACCAGCTGGAGTTTAACCGTCTGCTTTCCAAGTGCAGCACAGCAGCTGAAGTGTTTCGTCATCCAGTCTTTGGTAGAAACAGAGAGACACGAATAAAACAATAATGGAAATTTTTCCGCTTGTTTTATTTTAATGGATTTATTGCTTATTACATCAGCTTGGAGCCGTCTCTTCTTCACAGTTGGGTTGGTTTATGTCAAATATTTCCAAATGTTTCCATAAAATCCAATCTAGACTTTTAATCAAAATGATTCCATTTATCCTGGTTCTACATGGCAAACATCTGGCTTTGGTGTTTTAATTGGTGAACAATAATCTTGCTGTTAGGGTTCTGTGCACAGCAACAGCCTTAGCAATTAATCAATTAAATAACTAATTTAAAATAAGCTCAATAAGTTGTATGATTGTCTTTTTATGGGTCACTTTTTCTACCAAAGACTGGACGACAAAAAGCTTCGATCTGGTGTATTTGGTCTCAACCAGCCCCTTTTTGAAGGACAGTTTTGCTTACAGAGACTTCAGTATCCTTTTTTTTTTTTTTTTTTCAGTTTTTATATACATTCTTTCTGCAACTCCCCTGAATCTAATTAACTGCTCTTTACCAAACTTGATAGCATGCTGAAGCTGTAATTAACCGTTTTATTCAGCTACGTTGCAGCAGGGATGCATGTAAACATTGCAGGAATCTACTTGTTTAGACTTCTGGCATTCTGGATTAAACCAATTCATTTAACTCTTGGAGCTAAATGAATTTAACTCCTCACGTCCAGTTGAATTAAACATAAAACGTCACATGAACCTCAACAGTCTTGTCAGAAGATAAGATTATGCTGAAAGTTGCCACTGAAATTGAACAATTTTCCTTTTTAATTGGCTTTTTGCAGGTGAAATGCTGAAATTTTAAATTTTTTCCCCTGTTTTTTAGATGCATCAAACATTGAAAGCGTTCAGCTTTTTCAGGTTATGTTCTTGAAATTCGCATCCATACAAGATGGGAATCTTTTTATACCAACAATAACAATGATAATACAGATCTTAATGGCTAATACAGATCTTAATGGCTAAGGGAGATGGATGGTGACACTGGAGTACCAAGGAAAATGTCAGTTATCTGAAGAAGTCGATGCAACATTTACCATTAGTATAATTTGTGATGTTTTCTTAAATTTGAGCAGTATTAGAAAATATTTTGCTCCTGGATTTTCTCCCATGGTTAAAAAAAAAAGTAAAATTATATGAATGGAGAATAAAGATAATTTTAATTCAACCAATTCACAACAAACATACTCACAGCTTGAACGTATTGATTCTAGTCTAAATTGGGAAAATATGATTCAGTTTGATGAAGTTGGATCCTATATTAGTTTATATTGTTTGTCACATGTTCTTTAGTGTGAAACATGAAAACTTTCTCTCTTAATTAGAAATGTTTTGAGTTAATTCACCATGTTTCTGTATCAGATCGGTTGATACTAAACCTCAGATATCGTATTGGAAGTGATTGGTGCATGTGTAAAAACAACATGTGATAAAATGTCATAAATGACTTATAAAGCATTACAAAAAGCTTTAAATATGCATTTAAAATGAAAAATAAGATGTTCTTCCTCTCTAATTTACCCAATTTTGTATGTTTTTGTTTGTAGACGTATAGAAATATATTTTATGTTGCAATTTATTTATTTTTTTGTATTATCTGGAATTTATTTGACGATAATGTAACATTTCTAAGTGAAACTTTTGCTGTGCAGGGACACAGCAGGCCAGGAACGGTTCCACACCATCACCACCTCGTACTACAGAGGGGCTATGGGCATCATGCTGGTCTATGACATCACTAACGCCAAGAGCTTCGAAAACATCAGCAAATGGCTGCGCAACATTGATGAGGTGAGAAACAGAAACTAATGCAGCCAGCAGGACAAAACGGGAATAATTCAGTGGATCTGTGTTGATTAGATGCAGTTTGCAGTTTGTTTTAAAGGCCAACCTGAACTCTTTGCTCGTGGACAGAAAGGACTAGTCGGTGCGTTTTCAGTGGAAAGTGTCGGGCCAAACTGGGCGAGGCCATCTGACCTTGTCATTGTAATTTGTGTCACCGTTGCTGTTTTTAAAGAGGAAAGGAAACAATGAATTTCCTGCTGAGAAGTTGACGTTTCATTTGGTGCTCTAAACCCCAAAGAAGCTGAGATTTTAAAACACTTTTCTCTATTTTATTTGTTGTTAATCTAGTGGACAAAAGCTGTTTGAATAAACTATGGAGCACGACGAACGTCTTCTGTTTCTGACCAACTTTTACTAATTTGATTGAGCAGGAGAGACGTGATGGACTGAGTGTGACTAGTCTGTTTTAATTTAAGCTGAGCTTCGCCTTTAAAACATCAGTAAATCTACAAGTAGTTTCAGATTATAAAAGAATGATTACTATTTGCAGTTTTAGATTAAAATAGTGTACCATTGACACGCTAAATTTAAAGAGGGTAACAGATTTTATATTTTAACTTCAGGCTGGATTGCTAAATCATTTTGAACAGTTAAAAACCAAGTTTTAAATGTAATTCAAGCAATTTTTAATACTTTTTATATTCC